TTTGGTCTGCTTAAATTGACTAATTATTTTCTGTCTTTAATATTTGGCTTTTTAAAATTTTTTTTAAATCCCCTTCATTCTATTTTCTTGGAATAATTTTGGCAAATATACTTAGAGGAATCCAGTTTTTGTCCAAACCAGAATACAAGGCACATATTGGTTTCTTATAAATTAAAGTTGATATTGAATACCTGTGAGGTAATAAATACTTGAAGCTATTATTTTTCCAACAGTCCTTCAAGAAGTTGTAATCTGTCAGTATTGGAGGCTTCACAAAACAGTAGTAAACTTTCTAAATATTAACACACTAAGTCAAAGAGACATTGCATCAAGAAGACAAAATAAAGTTGCTCTTAGGCATTGCAAATTTGATGGTAACTTGGTTGTCTCTGCTGGAGGAAGGCTTTACCAAGAAGAGAGATTTCACAACCACGGAAATAAAGGAGAGGGGCTTTTCGAGCCCATTTTAGCGCTTCTCTGAAGAGAAGGAGCTTTAGCCAGTTCCCTACTACAGAGAAAAATGAAGTGATTATGTAGGAGCCATCCCAGATCTGTCTCAACATCAAAGTCATGGCCCCTTTTACCAGACCACCCTTCTGTATTCAGGAGAATCCATGGACCTTAAGAACAAATCGTTTATAGTACCAACTAGTTAAATCTTTGCAGAGCTACATAATTAGTCTGCTAATTCTTCATTCTTGGACCTGAAACAGAATGATAGTCAAGAAAATAATTAAGTACACCTTAAACTATATTTCTTCATTCAGGGCCCTTGTACAATTCCACTTTTGTCTCTTATCTCTTGACAAGTTTTTGTTGAGATGCATTTTAAAAATAAGATCACTTGCAGGACCAGCATTTGGCATAATGGCTATGTTGCTAGACTCCCATGGGGTCAACCATGGTTCGAGTCCCAGACCTGGTGGCTTAAACTCACACCGGGTGCATGTTCATGCATGCCCAAGATCCCAAGAAGAGAATAGAGGAGAAGGGATTGTGGCATGACCATCCCCCCTGGGGAGTGATTTCTTGCTTTCTGTCTGTCGGTCTGTCTCTGTTTTTGTGGCAAGCACACATCCTATATCAAAAACCTCTAGAAAAATAAAAATAAAAAATAAGATCACTCAGAACCAGCAGATGGCGTAATAGTTATGTTGCTGGACTCCCTTTTAGGCAATGGCCTTTCAAGTCCCGGAACTGGCAGCTTAAAACTCATGCCGGGAGAATGTACATATGTGTCTAAAATCCCAAGAGGAAAGGAGGAGAAGGGACTGTGGTGTGGCCAATCCCCCCCACCTGGATAGGGGGTGATTTCTCACTTTTTGTCTGTCTGTCTCTCTCTTTCTCTCTCTTTCTGTCTGGTGAGCACGTGTGACCTATAGCAAAAATCTCTTTGAAAAATTAATTAAAAAAAAAAATAAGATCACTACATTCTGTTAAGTGCAGGATTTTTAACCATTTAGTCCAAGTGTTCGGGGCAGAGTGGTGATCACACTATTTCCTTCCCAGTTGCTTGGTACCACACAGGCTGTGGTACACTTGTCATTTCTCAGCTGGGTGCCCCTGAATTCTCACTGAAAGCTGAAGAACTGTAGCTGTCTTTTTAGCCAGAGTAACATTGTAAACGCCTCTATTTACCACTTGGTTTAACATCAATAGTGTACAATTCTAGTAAGTATGACTGTGAGTTAGCTATAGCACATTTTAACCTAGAGCTGTTTACCCTGTATCAACTAGCAGACCTTTAGAATGCTCCTCTCTGTAATGCGTGAGTGCATATTATTATGAGAAAAGTGTGTGTTAATATATTAATAGTTAGGCCATGCAGAACATGCTTGATGCAATAAATTATCATCTCTTGAAAAACAACAGTCTTCCTTGATAGTTGCAACACGCAGCTTAAGAAGCTGGATTCCCGGTCGGACTCCCCTGCCTGGCGAGCCTGACAGGCTGAGTGCATGCAGTAATGCCCAAGATGTGTCAGAGAAGAGGATTGGAGGAAAGGGTTTCCAGCGTGATCCAGCAGGCTGGAGGACTAGAGGAAGGGATTTGCACGTGACCAGACTCTCGTTTGCACGTGGCCAGAAATGAGGGTGCTCATTTCTCTCCCTGTTTCTCTTGCACACACACACACACACACACACACACTCACATACACTTAGGTGCACATGCTCTTCATGAATAAAGAAAAATAATTTTTATATGAAATGTTCTGGGAAAAAGAAGAGTTATTCATGCTGGCATCCACCTCTTTGACTATTCTATTAGATGCTATTGTTACTGCAGTTTTAATCACTTGAACATGTTCCAGGAGACACAATTTTTTTTAAAACCTTTTATAAATCCTATGAAAGAACAGCATGGTATCAATAAACTCCTGATCGTGCCAAAGTAAAGTGGAAAATAACTTTGAAAGGGACCTTTTACCTTTCTGGAGGAGGAGACTTCTCTCAATAGATTTTATCATACTGACACTTAATAAGGTCTATTCAAAGGAAAACAGAAGGGCCAGATGGTAATATGAAGGTAAGGTGCTGTGTACCCCATCTCCTGCTATGAGGTTCGAGACTGGACCTGGTGGCTTAAAAATTATGCCAGGTGCTTGTGCATGCATGCCCAAAACCCTAAAAGTAGAATGGAGAAGGGATTGCAACATGGCCATCCTCCTGGGGGGGTGATTTCTCACTCTTCCCCACCCCCTATATGTTATCTCTGATGAACACACACACCCTATAGTAAAAACTGAAACAAACCTCCCCCCAGAAAAGAAAAAAAATGTTATGTCTGAATAGAACAGAAAATGTTCTAGGTGGGTCATGCCAAAGGAAAAATCAGAGATCCCCAGTACACACCACACAAATTCCTACCTTGCAGTTAACTTTTCAGAGCTATTTTATATGTGAATCTTGGAGAATCTTTACATGCTAAAGCAGATGGACTTTTTTTTTTAGGTGATGAATATAGTTTTTAATGAAATAAAATAATGAAATGGTAATAGTCACCCTATTGACTTTTAGCAAGTCTATAGAACTACTAATGTGAATAGTTAAACTTAACATTCTTGGGCTGGCCTGTGGTGTGAATGCCCAAGATTCCAGCAGGATGGGGAAATAGAAAAGAGCATGCAGTGTGACCATACTCTACTGTTTCTTTTTTTTTTTTCTCTCTCTCTCTCTCCCTCTCTCTTTTTCCTTCTCTCTCTCTGTGTGTCTCTCTCTGGCCAATACACATGCTCTCTGGATATTATTTAAAAGTACATTCTTGTGGGGCCAGCAAGTAATGTGGTGGTTAAGGTGCTAGATTCCCACATGGCCGACCTTGGTTCAAATTCCAGACCTGGCAGCTTGAGAATCAAGCAGGTCATGTGTCCATTTGTGGCCAAAATCCTGAGGGAAGAATGGATGAGAAGGGATTACAGTATGGCCATCCCCCCCGGGGGGTGATTTCTCTCTATCTCTGATGAGCACATAAACCCTATGGCAAAAAGCTTAAAAAAAAAAAAAAACCTCATGTATCTATAATTGTACATAATATAGACGTGTACCATATAATACTGTCAGAAAATTATACCTGAAAATGACATGTGCAAATATGTGTACATATAATGTATTTTAGTACTAATTTACTGTAAAATAATAATAGCCAACACTTATAGTATGTTTTTGTAAGGGTCTAGAGATCGGTCTAACTGATGGAGACACAGAAAAGACAAGGACAATGCAACTGCAAAAGAGGCTTTTATTTTTCCAGCTAGCTGGGGTCCAAGTTTCAGCCCGTCGCAGCAGGCCTTCACCAGGACCCCGTACCTAAGATAAAGGGATCTTTTATAGTTCAGGATGTTTTCTAGACTGCAACACACAAAGGAAGAGGGGGTATGAGAAACGAGGGTCCAGCTTTCACCCCCTGCTCAGGTCTAGATAAGGGCTCTCAACTAAGGGTTTGGATGACCTTGCCTCAGAGGTGCTGGGCCCTCCCGTTTTCCACTTATCTGAGAGTTCCCAGACTCCTAGTTTCCGTCCTTGAGGCCCTAACAAAGTGGGCTCCGTCTCTGAAGACTCAACAGGGTAGCGATTAAGCTAACTTGCCCCAGCATTGCCTAACATGGCGGTGATTATGCTAATTCGGCCTAACAGTTTTCTCTGTGATGAGTCACTTTCTAAGTGCTTTATATATACAGATCCACAATTTTAAAGTAAAAAAAAAGCTCTAGAAACCAAAAGTATTTCTCATAAATTTGTTTGAACTCATTTGATAATAAAATCTGACCTGAATTTATTTTATCTATTTATAGTCCTTATAGATCTTATCTAATCTGAATATTCATTTATTTCCCACAGAAATGTAAATGTGCTTGATTATAGAGTGCTACCCTAGATCCTGCTAGTTCTGCATGTTGAATGAACATCTGGCTTTATTGAATTACAGATGATTTATTTTATGCATTCAAAGTAGCATCCTTTGCTTTATTTTTGTTTGGGGGAAGGAGAATTGGGGACAGGGAGAGTTGGAAAAGTGTTTAGATTTTCTTGTTATTGTTATTTTAAGAAAAGTCAGTAATTGCATCATGATACCTAACACGAATCTTAAAAAAAAAAAAAAAAAAAAAAAATCCATGTGCTTTTCAGCCTCACTGAACTAATAAAAATAAATACTGAATGGCATTAACGTGTACCCACAGAATACAAAGAGGCTAATTTGATTTTCAGCAGAAAAAAAAAAACTCTTACTTTTTTGAGATAAGCATCTTTGTTTTCTTTTATTTGAAACTTTGAAATTACTAATCTTAGCTTTGAAACATAATTAACAATCATAGTTGCTATCTCTGCTTAGTTGGTTCCCCCCCACCCCTTTCACTGTTAATCTCTGTGTTAAAGCAGAAAGAGTCCTAGGAACCTCCCTTTCAATTATCCCTTTGGAAGTCTTGTTTTTAATAGCATTTTTCTTTCTTGGCTTGCATGACATTTTATCTTTCTTTTCCTTTCTTTTTGCTGTTTGCAAAGACTCTTGGGAGGATTTGACAGATTTGGTGGAGCAAATGCGCGATGATACAGAAGGTGCGTGCCACACCAACGTCTTTCAGATTTTTTTTTCTTGCTTTTTAAAATTTTCCAACCACCTTTGAACTGTTTTCCATACGAGGGAGTGTCCACTTTAGATTTTATTTCCCATTGGGAATTCTCGATGCTGTGATTCCAAGTATAATAGTGTTAATGTATGTTTATGCTGTTCCCTTAGGAGATTTGTCAGATAAGGTATTTAGCAGGAACATTGTTTCAAGATTACATCAAGTTTTTCCATTTGTTTGCTGGAAAAGTAAATTTTTTCAGTCATGTAAATATATATATATATAAAATGTACTTATATATATATATATTTCTGTGGGTATCAACAAACTAATACATGTAAATACATATATATTTTATATAATGTATTTATATATTATATATTGTATATATTTATATATAATGTGCATGCATGTATATTTTTATATTTACACATATATTTACATATATGTATACATATGTGTGTATATAAATATAATATATATTATATATATGTGTGTATGTATATATATATATATATTTCCACAAGTTTCACAGCAGTCAAAAAAAAAAAACCCATCCAAGGAATCTAAAGTGTTTGCTCAAAAAGGTTGATCTGATTCGCAGATTTCCATTACAGTTTGAATACTTTCAGCTTTGTCATGTAATAGCATTCCTTTCTGGTGGAATTATTAATATTTTTAAGTAGTTCATATGTGCTAATGCACAAAGGTTCCCCAAACCAGTCATTGTTTCTTCTGCAGTAATGGCACCTAACTTTAGGGAGCTCAGGTAATTTATATAGTTTACACTAAAAAATAGAAAAATCAAGGTTTAGCTTTACATTAATGTATCGTTTTACAATACATCCTGCCACCTTGCCCAGCCAACTAAAGGTGTCTCTGAGCTTTGACCCCCCAAACCCCCCAGCACACACATATCCACCATCCTCCCCCGAGCAGCCTGCCTCCTCTCCTGCTCTGTTCCTGTGATGTCTCTTGCATAGTATATACTCCCCTCTCCTTTGTCCTGTGCCACCCAAGCCGTTCAGTCTAGATGGGAGCTCCATAAAACCTTTTTGACAGCTGGAACCCTGTTTGTTTCTCCTTTCATTTAATGGCATTAGAATTTGCAGCTAAAGGCTTTTCACGTGTTCTCTAATTCTTGTAAACTCCTTGGGAGCAGGGATTGTCTTACACTTTTCGATATCCATTTCAGACCTAGGGTGGTAGTGTCTCCAGTAGATTTTTGTCACATTAAACAGAACAATGTAGTTATCTCCTTCAGCATATTCCTTCAAGGGAGTGATTATGATCTTGGGCTTCATCTCTTATGGTGAAACAATTTTTTATTTTATTTATTTTTTAAATTTGCTAGAGGCCTCATGCGCCTTCCAGAGAGAGAAATTCAAAGTGAAGAACTCCCCTCCCTCGCAGAATGGTCATGCCATAATTCCTTCTCCATTTCTCCTCTTGAGATTTTGGACATGCACGCACATGTGCCCAGCATGTTTTTTCAGGCCACAGAGCCTGGGAACTTCATTCATGCAGTCAGCTATGTGGGATCCAGCTGCTTTAATTACCATACCTCAGGCTGGCCTCACAGCTGGCTTTTTAATAGATGAAGTATTAACACTAGACCTCCTGAAAAATTATTTTTAAAAATAATAACACTTTAGTAGGTTGCAGATTAATTTTCAAGATAGTCTTGGCTGGGGCCGCACAGTGGCACAGGGATGAAACATGGTGCTCTGAGGGTGACCAGCATGGGGAGTTTCTAGGTTTGCATTTGAGTATGCCGGCTACTCGCATACCGCATGCTGGCAATCCAGCTGGTGTAGCATTGGGTGGCTCACAGAGTCCAGACTCTTTCGGGGGGTCCTGTCTTTCTGTTTCTCTTGCTCATAGAAGAAATAAAAGAGATTGTTATGACTAATCTGGGTCCTTTGGATTTCCTTACCTAATAGTTTAGGATAAGCTTGTCAATTTCTGCAAAAAGGCATCTGGGGATTTGCTAGAGAGTGCTCTAAATCTGTGTATCAATTTGAGGAGTATACCATCATAATACTACTATGTCTTCTAGTCTATGAACACTGGTTATTTGTTGATTATTTATTTATTTATTTATTTATTTATTTTTGCCAGAGAGCACATGGTTTGGTCAAAAAAGAGAGGGAGATAAGGAGACAAGGGAGATAGAGAAAGCACCATTTCACCCAGGGAGCATAGTCATACCAAAATACTGTCTCCTACATTTCTCCAGTCTGTGGTGATGACTTGGGGTATGCATGCACATGCCAAACCACCTGGGCCAGGATTCAAACCAGGGTTGGCTGCGTAACATCTGGCTTCCTTAACCACTTGGCCATGGGGTGGCCCTATTTTCATCTTTGAACATTTCTCTCAATAGTGTTCTGTAGTTTTCAGTAAACAAGTCTTGACCTGCTTTTGTTGAATTTATTTGTAACTTTTCCTTTTGATGCTGTTGTAAACAGAATTGCTTTCTTAATTTTATTTATGAATTATTCATTTGCTTCTAAATAGAAATACAGTTCATTTTTGTGTATTGGTCTTATACCCAGTAACCTTGCTGAACTCATTTACTCACCTTTTTCTTTTTAATGTATGTGTATTCTTTAGGATTTTTTTTATATACAAGATGATGTCATTTGCAGATGGAGGTTTACCTTCTCCTTTCCAATCTAGTTGCCTTTGCTGCTTTTTCTCACCTAATTGCACTAGTTAGACCCTCCTATGCAATGTTGATTAAAAGTGTGGGGCCAACAGACAGCATAGAGGTTAAAGGTGACTGGATCTCACGTGGCTTACTGTGCAGTTCAAATCCCAAACAGACAGCTCAAAAAACACCCCAGGCACATTTGTGTGTGTGCCCGAAATCCCAAGAGGGAAATGGAGGGGGGATTGCAGCATGGCTATTCCCCCTGGAGGATGATTTCCCACTTTTCCTCTCTCTCTTTGTCTCTGTCTGTCTCAGTGACCACGAACACCCTATAGCATAAATAAATAGAACTGAGAGTGGGTATCTTTCTCATCTTTTGAGAACCTTTAGTTTTTTACCATTCATTATTATGTGAACTGTGTGTTTTTCACAGATGCCCTTTATCAGGTTGAAGAAGTTTCCTTCTGTACCTAGTTTGTCAGATGCTTTGTCTGCTTTGGCTGAGATGATCATGTGGTGTCTGTCCTTTATTCTATTCTATTATTTTGGTGTATTGCAGTGATTTTGTTTTTTTGTTTGTTTTGTTTTGTTTTGCTTTGTTTTGACCAATCTTATTTTTTGTTTGTTTTGTTTTGTTTTGTTTTGACCAATCTTAGATTCTCAGATAAATGCCACTTAATTATGTTTTATTATTTTTTTTATTGCCATAGGGCATGAGTGCTCATAAGAGAGAGACAGAGAAAGAGGGCAAAAGAAAAAACACCTCCAAGGAACATGAACATGCTTGCACACACACCCGACCTGTTCTTCCAGCCAGCGACAACTCAAACCTTGTGGTCAACCCTGTGGGCTTTGGCTGCCTGGACCACAGACCAGCCCATAATTCAGTTAATATGTTGCTAGTGTTAGTTTGCATCTGTATTCATAAGGAATATTAACTGGTAGTTTTCTTATGTCTTTGATTTTTTTGTTCTCAAGGAAATCCTTTTCTCTAAAGTCAATACTAATATCTCCTCTTTCATTCCTGGTCAGTCTAACTACTTGTCAGAAAACCAGTTTTGAGTTTTTGTTAATTCAATCAGTGTTTTTTTTCCTTAGTTTTTCTTTAATTTATTTCTGCATTAATCTTTATTATTCTCTTCCTCCTGGAGCTTTCCACTGATAGATGTATTTTTTTTTAAGTGGTTTTGTGTTAGGGTGCTTGCACTCACCAGAGAGAGAGAGAGACAGAGTGATTGGGAGGGAAAGTGAGAAATCACCCCCCTGGGGTGGTTGGCCATGCTACAATCCCTTCTCCATTCTCCTCCCAGGATCTTGGGCATGCACCCACACACGCCAGGCATGATTTTTAAGTCACCGGGTCCAGTTCTCGATCCATGGTCCGCCATATGGGAGTTCAGTTATGTAACCACTGCACCACCTGCTGGCTCCAATAGATATATTTTGTTAGTTGCCCTTGATGAAGTCTGCTGTGAAATTATAGAATTATTCCTAGAGCTAGGAGGGTCCTCTAGGTCAGTGCTTCTGAAATTTTAATCCATATGCAGGTTGCCTGGGGGAATTTTGTCAAAGTGTTCAACCTGATTCACTAGTAATAGTGGGACCTCAGGTTTTCCATTTCCAATAACTTTTCACTGTCATGCCTCTGTGGCACAGCTGGCAGCATACTGACCTGTGGAGCTGGAAGCCACATGTTGACCGTGGTTCAACTCCCCACTCTGGTTAGCTAGAATACATGCCTAGCCAGGTGTCCAGGATCCTGGCAGGCTGGAGAACAAGAGGAAGGGGATCACAGCATAACTAAGCCCCATGGAAAGTATTTCTCTCTCTCATGCATGTACTGTATCAGACTTTTCTTTTTTTTTAATTTTTAGGATTTCCAGGTTATACCAATGCTGATGTTCCAGGACCACATGTAGAATAGCAACTCTAGTTCATTTGGCATTCAAGTTACTTGTGGGGTTTTCCAAACTGGGCATGTTATTTCTCCCCATTCCAGGGATATTAATGTGCTCCCCTCCCTTGAGAATCAGTGTCGTGGTGGCATACTATCTATGACAGTGTCTGTGATAACTATGTGGTTTGATATGAGTGTGTGTTATCTCCAAGGAATTACTAAGTCCAAACCCCTCATTTTACTGATAAGGAAATGGAGGCCTCAAAGAGGTGAGGCCTCTTTGGAGTCATATAATAAGTGAATTAGCAAAAACAGATGACTAATATAACAAACGAAGAGTAGTGGGTAGATAGAATCTTACCAATAGTAAGGCTTAATTTCAGCAAAGCTCATTTTTGATTATACTATTACCAGGAAGAGGTAGCAGTGAGGGTAA